TATATATATATATATATTCTATGTATGAAAGGAATAGTTCCAGCAAATTAACAGCAGGAAGCGCTGTAATTTAGACTATCTGAAGATTAGATTAATGTGAATTTTCTTTCTTTTGTCTCGTCTTGCTGTCGAAGTATATTTGAGTTTTTCACATTACAAATTGCAATCGATAGGACTATTATATACAAGGTTTCACGTATTTTATTATTGATTCATTTTATCATAATAATATAACAATGTATGTTTTAATGTAATTTTATATTTTCATACAGGTTAGGTTATGTATTTCTTTTTGCTTTTCTTTTTGCTAATCCAAGGATTTTAATTTATGATATTTTCTGAATGTTTGCATTATTTTGATTAAGCTTTCAACATAATAATAAACAATATAATAATTTTTTCTTTATCTTGTCATTCTGTTTAATGAAATGAGACTTGATACATATCATTTGCAATTGTGGTATATGAAATCGAGAACAATGTATGTACAACGTTGCCATGTGGAAATATTTGATTTACTATATTAATATTATAATAATATTTACTCGCTACGATTGGATCGATTTAATGCTCGAGAATCTTTCCGCAAAGCTCTTCAAGCACATAGTTAAAGTTTCTCCCTTAAAGCTTCAAGACTTTTTCCTCTTCTTTCATTCTGCTCAATCGATATCCTTTCGAATTAGTTTCAAAGCAGGATGACATTTATCTTTCGAGCAATCATCATTACGTATTTTCTTTTTGACACGTTGACAAGTATTCGTCCTTCTATTCTTTTTTTTATTTATTTATTTATTTTTTTCTGATTAAATATGATTCTATGCTGTAATTTTGTTTTGAAAAAAAATTTTATAAGAAAATTACAAAAATAAATTTTTGTTTTTATATTTTTATTTGATTTTATATCTTCTATGTGATTTAATAGATAAAATTTAATATCTTAAAGTTAGAAAGATATAAAAAAGTTGACAAATTTTAAAGTATATTTAAGATAAGTTAAAAAAATGCACAAGTCAACAGATGAAAATCTAAGTGTGTTCTTTTGTAAAAAAATTAATCTGAAACTTTTATGATCTATTTAACTAAGATATTAAAAACAAGATTATACATAAACTATAATATTATAATTACAAAAAACAGTACAAGATATGAAAATTGTTTTTTATATTATAAAAACTTTTGATGATAAAGATTAACTCCTTGTTTTATAAGGATATCACGAGTTTGCAATGAAATTAGAAGATGTTATATGATTCTGAAAATTATTTATCACTGTATTCTATTCATAATTCTGAATATTTTTATTTTTTTAGAATTCTACTTTTGATTTCGATTCATGAATTTGATGAAAAAATTTTAAACAAAATTAAATATTATCCAGCATTTTTCGATTAAATTGTAAGGTAAGAGGTTAATGTTCAGAACCAATTCATCTATAAAACTGTTCAAAATCTCGATCGATAAATTTTCTTCGATGTAAAGTACCGACACTTGACTTTATGCATCTTTTTATAACCTCTCCATTGAAAAACAGTGATTCAGCTTTTACGTAATGAGTCGCGTGACAAAGAAAGATTTCGCTAACAATGATAAGAGTAAAAACGAGATCCATTCGAAAGAAAGATCCCTAAAAGTATCCCCTTTACGCAGCTAGGGGTTTCGTCCTTTATTTTCCTCGATATCTCGTGCGCCTTTATATTACACCGTGTGCACCACCATAAATTGAGCATCCCCCCTACATCTCTAGAAACTCTCCTTCATTTCTGTCCACCGTCTCGATAATAAAAGTTGAGCACGATAGGTCGATTGTTAGATATATCGTAAAACTACTGCAACCACATATCGCTTATATATAAGATCAAAAATTTGAAATCGTTGTTCTATATTATGCTACGTAGAATTTTCTATTAATTTTTTTATTAATTGAAAATTGATATAAATATTCGCATTTGCATTTTTCGCATATCGATCGATTTCTCGTGAAAGGATTTTTTGAGGTTAGAAAATTCTAACTTTCGATTAAGTGAATTTTTAACGTAATAATAATTTTATTAGTAATAATTTGCATAAATAAATTTTTCGTGAAAAAATTCTTTGAGGTTAGGAAATTTTAATCTAACTTTTGGTCAACTTTATAAATTCTTGGAACGATTTAGTGATTTTAAAATTGTTCTATTATTTTGTAGAAAATAAGTAAAGCTTGCAAAATCTTGCAAACAATATTCTGTTGTTAAATGTTCTGTTGTAAATTAGTGACGCAAGCATTAATAATAGATATTAATAAGAGTTTCATAAATTCTTTATAGAAGAATTTTTTAAAGTTAGAAAATTTTAACCTTACTTTTGGATCAAGTGCCTGAATTTTTGATACAAATATATCATAGTAATTTCATTTGCATTGATGGATTTCTCGTGAGATTCAAAGAAATTCTAACCTAAATTTGAATTAAATTTGTGAATTCTTGGAACAAGTTAATGATTCCAAATTTTTCTAGTATCTCATAGAAAGCATATAAAATCTCC